TGCTAATTGACTCGTTTTGAGTGGAATTATAACGTTAATTTAACTATGTGCTCCTGTTGAATGGTACCTTGATCAAAGTCATTCGCAAAAGCCACTGGCTTGTCTTGCATATTTCAAAGATTTTATTATATTTAAAAAAATTATAGATAATTGTTGTCCCAAGAATTTGATTAAGTATTTTTCTTATTCATTCAGGGTCATCTCTGATTTCGCCCTCTGTGATTCCGGTGCTAGTACTTGACACGTTTTGTCTTTTTTATTTCGAGTTCCTAATCTAATGATGTTAATATAATAATAAAGAACAAAATCATTTGAGTAACATATAAAGTATTCTCTTTTATTTTAGTTAAAAGATTAATCTATAACTAATGAATTAAATGAATTCATTGAATTGTTAATTAATCAGAAAGCTCAAAACCTTTTTTGCAGTTAAATAATTCCGGCCGGTCACAATGATATTCTATTTAAATTATACAAAATGGGAAGACTTTGTGCACGCGGCTTTACTGAATTTCTGTGGGATGCACTCAAAAAGTTAGAGTATAAATTAAATGAAACCCATTTACAATTCAGGCTAAGTTATTTATATGGCCTTATCTCTTGATCTCCTAAAATATATTCTTTGAGTTATAAAATTGCACTTACTCACTTCATCACTGTAATAGTTTTATATTGTATTCATGCTGGCCAATTCTTCAAAACAATTAGTATTGGTAATTCTTTTAAAATGTGACCATCAACTAATAAATGTCAATTAGCAAAAACATGTTATCTAATTAAGGCACTTACTTTAGGTGTTAACAATACATCTCATTTAAATGTTACCCATTCCAGTACTTGATATAAAATGAAGTTTGAAAGTTTTTTTTCATCCTAAATATATAAGATGATGTTAGAGTAATTAAAGCTATTTTCTAATTTTGTCCCCTTGTTTATTTATTATTATTTAAATTCCAAAATAACAATTTATTACGATCATTAATTAAAAAAAAGATAAAATTAGAAAGTTACAAGGTTTTTTTTTACAATTTTAAAGTTATAACTAACATTTCTTAATATATAAATGTGATATTTGTTAAATTCGTCTCCTATTAAAGATCACCAAAAGGGTTTTAACACCTTACAAAAGACACCTGCACCGCACTGTGTAAAGAAGATTATCAAGACACGAATATGCTTAACTTGTTAACATGTGAAGTGAACAGGATTATGTGTTGCTTAGGAATCCGAGAGTAAAGGTGAATTATATAGCTTGGGATGCATGTGGGCACAAGAAGCATTCGGAAGTGAAATGTGTGATTGCTAATTGTGTCCGATCATATAGAGAAAAAGTTAAAAAGAATGATTCCAAGATCTTTTTTTCCCTCAACATATCTTCTACAGTACATGAGAATTATTGCTGTGTCCCACGTTTAAAATTTAAATACCTACTTAAAGTTGAATAATGAATTCATCCACTTCACACCAAATCATAAGGCGGTGTTAATTTGACCGGGGAAAAAAAAATTGAATTCTCATTTTACATAACGTATCAAGCTAATTAATCAATAATTTGGAAAAGAAGACACAAAAACTAATCTCATTTTACAAGACAGAACAAGACTCATCCGTTTTCAAGAATATATATGATTTTGATCTGTTATTTTATTTTTTTTCCTTGTCAAATGATTTTTTTTCAAGGATGAGTCTTCTTCACGAATAAAGGATCTTGTTGCATTATGTAAAATGAGTCTTTTTGTGTCAGAAGGACGCATCTCCTCCTGCAAAGAAAAGAGAGAACATGAGAAGTGACGAAACTAAGGACGTGTCCCTTGAAAAAATTTAATATAATACCTGACAATGATTTAGACAAATCGAATACTTATTAAACAAAATAATAACTTCATTTGTTATTTGTTAATATTTACTTATTCAAAATACTTGTCTGATACTTTCAGGAGTTCTTTATTTATATTATTCTTATAACAAAGAATGGAGACATTCCTATCATTATAATTCATAAACATGCAAGAACCTTAATTTTGTCAATCCTAAAAAAATAAAATTCACTTTTAACATCATTAATCATTAATTTTAGAGCCTTTAGCTCCTTCAATGTAATCCTCCCCTTATGAGAATATTTAGATTCAAATAAATATGCTTATAAATGATATTTTAGGATTTCAGAAATTTAATCATTTGATGGAGAAAAATGAGAGGGAATTTTCAACAAGAACTTCAAAAGATGGAGGCCATATATGTTTAGAATACCAGAGAGAAAGGATCAGCAGAAAATCACATGTGAAGTGTTGAACCAAAACCAATCAAAGCAAAAGGCATTGCCGCAGCATTACACCATCACTTGATGTCCCCATCGTCAACTAGTGGTAGATACATACATGATTTTTTCTATATGCACTGTAATATTTTATCCTCTTCTTTAATTTCCTTTTGTCATTTACCTATTTTAGGCCCCGCATAGTCCAAGTTTTAACGTTTTCTTTTTTGATAAAGACCAAGTTCTTTTTTTTTTTTTTGGATAACAAGTTTTAACGTTGTTAACTAGTAATATCTTTTAAAACTATTCTTAAGCCCATAAAGGAATTCGTAGTCCAGTACTGCCAGGATAGCCCGACTGGCCTTTGCTTAATTAGTGGAACTGCATGGTCTAAAGGCCTTATTTAGTATGCAAGCTTGAATTTGAAGAGATTGAAATTAAAATTGGGATTAAGAGAAGGATTGAGATTTTAAAATTATATTTAGTATGGGATAATAATTAGAGGGAATACTTTCAATTTTTTTATCTTACAATTAAACATAAATTATCAAAAGACTATAATACCCCTAAATTAATAAAAAAAGAGAGCCCAAAAACCCATCTCCTTTGTCGCTATAACCCTCCCTTCCCTTGCCGCACCGATCAGCTTTTCTCCACTAGCTCTCTCTCTCATCTGAATGCTTTCCTATTCAAGACATAACTACTAATTCCTTTGAAGCTGCTAAGACTATCGAAGCAAATTCTTTGCTTTATGGTTGGGTTTTTGAAGGCAGAGAAAGAAGGGGAGAGAGATTTTCATTCTTTTGAGATCAACGAGAAGATGAGACTCTTGAACTGACAAAACACAGTGATGCATCTTGAACTTGAACCAGATTTGGCAGTCATTAATGGTCTAAATCATGAAGACACCACTATTATAGCTTGTGGTTAATCCTATTGCAATCTGCAAGATTTGTAAACTGGAAACAATAGGTGGAAGATGGAGGCAAAAGGGAGCCCACTCAAACTCAAAGAAAACTGGTGGGAGGAAGACAGATGGGAAGGACGTTGCTTTAGGAATGATGGCACCAACAATGTGGGGCGGCCAGAGAGAGAGAGAGAGAGAGCAGTCACTGGGTGGAAGGTGGGGGGAGAGAGATGAGAGGGTGGATGGGGAGGGTAATTTGGTCACAAAATAATCAATTTTATGATTGATTTTTCAATACCATGAGGGTGGTGACATTAGGTAATTCTTTGTAGATCGAATTGAGATTGGAATTAAATTTTTCATTGCCTTATACCAAACATAAAAGGTGGCACTAGTCAATCCCAATCCCTCTTCATTAGTCCTATGTATCAAATAGGATCTAAAGATTAAACCTCATGCATGGAAGGTGTGTTTTTCCCGTTTAACTTAGCTTACATTTCTTTGCTCTAAGATATAATTATTAAAAAATGATGATAAAATCTCACCAAAATATATAAATAACAATTAAATCCCTTAAAATGTTATAATTTTTCTAAAATTTTTGGGTACTTTTTTGTAGGGGTGTTCACGGGACGGGACGGGACCGGGACACCCCCGTCCCGTGTCCCGTCCCGAAAAAAAGATCGGGACTGAATTTTGGTCCCATGTCCCGTCCCGTCCCGAAAGTCGTCCCGTCCCGTTAAGAGTCGGGACGGGACCGGGACAAGATCGGGACGTCCCGCCGTCCCGATAAATAGAATAATATTGAAAAAAAATTTGGATAATAACGTTCATTAAAATTTTAAATCATATAATTTATTAAGTTTAAAATCAAAACAACACAAGCACATAAATAACAATAATTTAAAATTAATTATTGAATTATATTAATCATAACTACATATTATAATAACAAATGCAAGTGATCTTTATGCTATAAGATTAACAACAACAGGCAAGTCAAACACAACATCAAATCATTATTCTTCTACTTTAGTGAAGATGTACTAAGCTAATTACTCTTCTAAAAATAAGCAAGAAATATGTTATAAATAAAGGTTATTAAATAGATAGATATAAGAATAAATTATATTAATATAATTAATATATTATAAAAAAAGATATCACCATATTTACTCCATGCCATTAAAATTATTAATATAAAAAAACTTTAGTTTTAAATAAGAATTGCAAGTATTAAAATTATAATTGATATAATTAATATAAATATAAATTATATTAATATAATTAATATATTTAAAATAAAAATAATATATATAATATTCGGGACGGGACGGGACGTCCCGATGCTAATCCCGTGTCCCGTCCCGTCCCGAACCCCTTTCCTATCCCGTCCCGTAAAGTCCCGTCCCGATTATTTTCGGGCCGGGACAAGACCCGTCCCGATATGATCGGGACGATACCGGGCCAATCGGGACGGGTCTAGGTTGAACACCCCTACTTTTTTGATATTAATGATTTTATGTGAAATAACTAAATCGTCTCCTTTTAACATAAAAATAATAAGTCTGGCTCTATTTTTTCAATCACAACTTTTATTTAAGCAATCATAACTTTTGTTCTATTAATCATAAAAATTGAATAAAAAATCATAATTTTTTACGTAAAATTTCTTTTATAATATTGATAAATAAGTTTTAAAAAATAACCAGTTCCAATCATAATTTTTGTTTGAGTAATTATCACTTTGATTATGTGAATCATAAAAATTGAATAAGAAATCACAACTTCTCATGTAAATTTTTTTTTTGAAGTTCAAGTTTTAAAAAATAAATAATCATAATTTTTCACGTGAAATTTCTTTTATAATTAAAATTTAAGTTTAAAAAAATTAGTTATAATTTTTATTTAAAAAATCACAACTTTTATTTTATAAATGATAAGAATTGAATAAAAAGAACCACAACTTCCCTCATGTACTAGTTATATTTTATTTTAAATGAGGGATAATTTAATTATTTAATCTAAAATTACTAATGTCAGAAAAGTATCTAAAACTTTATAGTAATTATGACATTTTGAAAGAGTTAATTATTATTTATATATTTCAATAAAATTTTATTATTATTTTTTCCTTTAAAAAATCACCCTTCTATTCAAACAAAATTAATTGTAACGTCAGTTCTTTTTTTTTCTCAACAATAATTATAAATTGAAAACAAGAAATATTTTCTTAATAAAATCTTGACCAAATACAGTTATATCAATAAAAATAATTCTAAGTAATTTTTTAGAGAATTACATATGCTTTTTATTACATTATCTATATGTAATACTCCCTCCATTTAAAAATATAAGGTATTTTTAACAAAATTTTACCCTCTAATAAAGTAGTTATTTATTTTTAACTAACCCTATCTTTTCATATATACTTTTATAAAATATCCTACAATAAATATAAAGTTATAGGAGTATTTTAAAAAAAATAATAATTATATTTTAAAAAATTAAAAATATTTTATATTTTTAAATATATAACTTCTTAAAAAATATTTTATACCTTTTAACGGAGAGAGCATGAAATTATCAACTATTGTATTATCAACTCTCTTCTCAAACTTCGTGCGTGTCAGCGTTTGCGTAGGATAGGATCTATAACATTTTCTATTGTAAAATTCATTCTTAAAAGGTAATTCTGAACTAAAATAAAAATTCAAAACTTTCTATACTTCTGTATGTATATATTATAAAATAATAAAATTTCTAAGATTTTCATAATTTATACCTAATAAATAATATAATTTTTAAAAAAAAATCACGCTATTAGTTTGTAATTGTCTTCCGTACAAGGTAGGAGCACTACCATATAAATTGTTTAATACAAAAATGAAATAAAAAGTTGATTGGACAAGAGAAACAGATGGATCATGAATTACTGGTGGTTCAGCTTCAAACCTTACGACGGAACAAACATGTTTTGAAAAAGTTCCAAGATATTCCCGCTTTTGCAACTGGCAGAGTGTAAAGTCACCAATGCTACTATCCTGCGCAAAGCGAAGAGAAGAGTGAACGCGACCTACACTACACCGTAGCTTCAATGAATATCAACTCGTTTTCCTCACTGCATCCACCATAGCACTAAAGGTAGAGTTTTTCTTCTTCACCATTTACTTCTTACTATTTTCGTTCTCCTTCATGTTGGATCCATCATTTTAGCGTTTCAGGAATCGGACCAAACTGATCAGAATTCCCTCCCGAGTTCTCTGTTTCAGAAACTGGTTTCTTTGTAAAACAAATTGCCCACAACATTTTCTAATTAAACTGAATCCTTGACGCTTCAACACAGCTGTAGCATCTTCTTTTGACGAAGTAAGTTTCCAACAGATAGCAGTAAGATTTTTTCTTCAAGGTTACAGACAACCAGGATCAGATCTTCCTAATTGACGAAGAATGGCAGTTAGCTTACTTACAGTTTGGCCAAATTATTCCCTTTCTGTCTACAATTTAAAATTTTATTGGTGGGTTTTGTGTCTGTTATCAACCATCTTTGTCTGTTATCAACCATCTTTGGTGATTTGTTCAATTGATGACAGCGATTAATTTAGCTGGGTTTCGTCACTCAATCTAGCATTCTAGTTAACATTACATGCTATGTGTATTTATTCATGACTGGATGTTTAATGAATACTATTAATTTCAAGGTTTTCTCAAATCATAGGAACTAAATCACAAATTCTTAATATAATAGAATCAAATAGAAACACAAGCTACTAATACTAACAAATAATTAAACCCAGAAGTCTCCGTATTTGTTCACTATTTTGCAAGATTTGAGATTCAAAGTGATACTACTCCCTTGGGCATGCAGAAGCCATTTTGGAACAGTAGAGGCTCAAATTTTGTTGGCTGGTAGAATGACTTCATCTGCTATTGTAGGAGGCTTGCAAGAACCAGCAAACCCAGCTGATTCCAAGACCAATTTGAACATGTCCCTGCAAATTTCCTCATCCCGGAAGGGACTGCTCACTGAAGAAAAAGTAGAAGAAACCATTCCAGTGACAAAATTCAATGGAATCGGAAAAATCTGCAGAGAGTGGATTAACAACCCTATGAACATAGCCCTGGTGTTATGGCTAACTTGTGTGGCAATCTCAGGAGGAATTCTGTTTCTTGTAATCACAGGAATGTTAGACAATGTCCTAACCAAGAAGTCCCAAAGAGACTTGTGGTTTGAGGTCAACAATCAAATCCTTAATGCTCTGTTCACTCTCATGTGCCTATACCAGCATCCAAAGAGGTTCCACCACCTGTTTCTTCTTTGTAGATGGAAACCAAAAGACATTTCTATCCTCAGAAAAGCATATTGCAAGAATGGCACTTACAAGCCCAATGAAAGGGCCCACTTGATGGCGGTTGTGTTGTTGCTTCATGTGAATTGCTTTGCTCAGTATGCTTTATGTGGCCTTAACTTGGGTTATAAAAGATCAGAAAGACCTAATGTAGGTGTTGCTATTTGCCTCTCCACTGCCATTGCTGCTCCAGCAATAGCAGGCGTTTATGCCATTTTTGGCCCTCTGGGGAAGGAGCGTGAAGAAGCTCAGAACAATAACACCACCAACAATGGCGCTAGGTAAGTCAGAATTGCAGATTAATTCCCTTTCTCTCAATTCTTATTTTACATGAATTAACCAAACTTGATGATATTTCCATTAACTCAATTACATGGGCGTGGTTCCCCCCCCCCTTTTGGGATTGACCAATCAGATTACTGGGTTGTGATATTAGCGAGTGTAATGTCATTTATATTAACAAAATGGACTTTTGGTAAAAAAATCAGATTTAGTTAGTTTTCAGAGTGATATTCATATTAGCGTATTGTCTTGGTTAGTAGCTTATCAGAGAAAAGCTTGTCATCTATACCAAGAAATGAGGGGACTGGTGGGTGTGTCCACCCTACACTGGCTTCACTGCCTCATGAAGACAAAGCTACTCAGTTCACGACAATGGCCACTTATCCAATGTGGAGTGGTCCTAGGTGCAAGATCTGACACGGTGGATCAAAAGATTTGGAGGTTTCCGCGAACAAATTATTGTACTGTGGAAGCTCCCATTCTTTAGTACGCATATTGTTGTGCAGATTAATCCATAACGATGTATTAATTATGTTGAGGTGTCACCTATGGATTCAAAACTATGCATTTCCTGCAGCAATATCTTGTTGATTTCTTCTCTTCACTATTTCATCCTTTGCATGATTTACGTTTACGGTCTCCTCTTCTATCAGTTCCCTTCATATTATAATTAGATAGCAGTAGAGATTAACGTAAATGTAACTAGTAGTGCCATCACAAAGGAAGAAAAATGCTTAGTCTTCAAAGCAGCGGCATGAGCAGAAGAATTAGAGTTTGAAGGGGGAATAAAAATATATTATTCACGAATGAGAATTTGTGAACGAAGGAATGGGAAATGGTCTAATCCTTTTGATTTTATAGTAATTTTTATAGAATTTTTTATGGAAAAATGTATACTTTTCATTCTATAGTTTAACATAATTTGTATTTCAATTAAATCTTTATAATTGAATGTGTTGTGTTTAAAATTTTATAATTTATACACTTTTAATTTAATGTTTATTATTGCAATTTTTATTTTCGGTGCCATTTACTATCACAATTTTGTTGATCTTTGGGGGGGTGGGGGAACGAGTTACTGTACAATACTAAAGAACAATTAATTTTAATAAACTTATGATATTTTTCAAAAACTAATTGCACTCTTACCATTTTTCAACAAGTAAAACTAAATGAACATAAAATGAGAATGCCATTTTCTTGAATTTTTTTTTTTTAAGCGTGAATGAGAAAATATCCAACTCCATAAACACTTCACAGCAAGAGGGCTTACCCCTATTCAAAAAATAATTAGCCCATGTGACGACTTGAACAGTTTAGAATTATTTAACTTACTTTTGAAAACTACTAAAACAATTTTTTTAGGCAGTATATTATAATAACTTTAAATATTATACTTGTTCTATACAAAGAGGGAGAGAATTCTCTTGTTTTTACTTCCCATTTTTCCCCCTCGCATTCATTCTCTGATCATAAGTTTAATATTTAAACAATTTAACTTTGACTTATTATAAAATATTTCTTTTTATAACTCACTTTACTAAGGCTTTTCTCTTTTTTTAATTGATCACACCTATTTTTTCATTAGACATATTGATCACACCTATTTTTTTATTAGACACAATCATGTTTGAGATACAATTGAAGTATTAAACATGAATATCTATCTTAACAAGAATTTTAAAGGAGGGGGGAACATGATGGAAAACTAATTCACAAAGGATTTAGAAATGAACGAACCTGAAACATGCACAAAATTAGTAACCATTGGATAACTACAGGTAGAACCAAATGTGTGCCTATGCTGATATCAAAAGCCAGAATGAGATTTCAGTCAGTAATTTTACACGGTAAGTAGAAGCTGCCGTATTAAGCTATCCGATTCACCCCAAAAAAACAAAGCAAAACAAAACAAAAACAAAGAAAGTAAGTCCCACCAACTTCCTAGGGCACAACCACGTCTTCCAGATCCATCTCCATGGTTGGAACCATCAACCAGTCATCAAGGCAACGGCTTTGATCTGTTGCATCCACAAAAGTTGAGTCATAACCAAACCCCTTGGAATCTTCATTCACAACGTTCTCCACAAATGGACATTTCACCTTTTCACTGCTCATATTGCCATCTAAAGTCTCGAGAAATCCTATCCACCACGCATATGAAGAAGCTTGATTCTCTCCCCACTCTAACTCTACAGAACCTTCACTACTGGCAGTGGGTGCTTCTGCTACTGCTGTTGATAACGGTGGTTCAGCCAGTACACAAGGTTCTGTTGTAGACCACACAGGTCCAGGCATAGGCATAGCCTCCAATAAAGAGTAACAATATTGTGCATCTGAAAACATCGGCATATTATTGTAATAGCCATATCCATGATTGGAGCTAACGCTATTGCTATTACCTTTCTCAGTGACATCTCTTCTAGAAGTGCCCGCCAGCTGAATGACAAAATGCCCCCGGGAATCTCTTCTACCATCTGAACTCTTTATCGTGAATCTGCTTGATGAGTCTGTCTCATCTGAGCTCATTCCTTCTTCGTCCATGGCTTTTTCCACTGTAAGCCAGAATCCCAATGGGATTGAAGATAGTGGAGCTGGAAAGGTAATAATGGTGGAAGCTTGAAGCAGGCATGAGTGGGTAAGAGTGGGTTTAAAAAATGAGGGGGAAATGGGAAAGAGTGGAGACAAGGATATGAATGCTGACACGTATGTGTTGAATCCATTGGACACATCAAAGCTTTTCCGAGCAACAAACTGCGTGTCTGCAAAGTCTTCGCTTCTCTTTCTTTTTTGTACGTTCCCCATCAGGCCATCACTTTTTTCCCTTTAAATTTCAATTGATCATTCATTGTTCTGTAAAGCCATATTTAATACACTCTTCTTGTCTTCCATAACCCTCTGACAATTATGATAGCATCCTCTGAGCTCTTGATGGTTGAATCTAGTTCTAACTTTTAATGGTTGAATTTAGTTCTAACTTTTAATATTGTATACTGTTTATTTCTTGCAATAAGTAAATTACTTTCAACACCTTTCAAAACTGCACGATGTTTGATGCTAAAATAATGTAGTTATAACTTTCAGCTATCAATAAGATTAATAAGACCAAATTGTAATATACTTCCTTGGATCCAAGATATAAGTATTTTTTTTTAGTTAATCTTAGGTCAAAATATAAACAATTTAGTACGTGCAAAAAAATATTCTCTATTTTATCATTTATATTTATTAATGTTAATTTTTGTGAAAATCTCTCCCTTATTAATTATGAAGTGCATTCATAATTGTGACTTAGGGTAAAAAGGAAAAAATATATATTTTTTATGATAATAATAACTTTATTGGTATCCAAATTTAAGAAAAAAAACTGCTTATATTTTGAACCATAAAAAATACTCATTAATAACACATTACTCTTATTTAATAATCTTTCTATCCAAAATTATAAGATATTTTTTAAATAGATTTGATATTTTAAATTATAAGTTAGAGCAAAACTTCCAACTTTCTCTTCTTCTTTTTGCTGGTTTGATTAAGATATGGAAAATTAGATCGGTCAAAATAATAGGTTAAGAGTTATGGTTCAATCAAAGTAAACTGGTCTTAATTAAAATAATTTAATTTAATTTATATATATAAAAATATTCATATTCCCTCTGATCTTATTTATAGGGCAGAGAGAGAAGAATTTTTTTAATCCTATTTATAAGTCACGTCATTAAATTTTTATAATAAATTTTTTTATCCCTCTATTGAATGTTGGAGAGAGAAAATATATTATTAAAATGTGTATATTTAATAGGGATAAAGTTAAAAACTTATTAAATTTTAAGATAAAGTTAATGAGTTTTAAGATTTTTCTTGATATTATTAAAACATGTTAGAAATGACTTATAAATAAAATCAGAGGAGTATTTAAATGTAAAAAAAATAAATATTTAAATAAAAAAATTAGTTGTGCTCAAGTGACGCAACAAAAATTCAATAGAAAAAGAAAAATCTTATACATGACCGTACAATACCAACAACAATTTAGCAAACTTGGTAAAATCTCAATAAAAAGTTAAATAATTTCACTCAAATAACCTAATAAAAATTTAATGCATAGAAAAATGGTTTTAATCACAACTAATATTTAAATATTATTATGTAATCTACTTTCTACAACTTTTAAAACCAGAAAAACTTTTAAAAGTAATTTTTGTTGAACATAATCAGAACAACTTTTAATTTGCCAAATTATTATTTTTTAAATATCATAACATAAAATTTGTTATAACATCTGACTTTTATTAAATGATTTTTTGACAAATTAACTTTCAGCAAACAAAAAATTAAAGGGAAATTGAAGTTTTAAAGTTAAAAAAATCCTGGGTTAGCCAAAAGCACATTTTAACAATATTTCCAATGAATTTTTCAAATGAGCTTCTTGAATCTTGAGAGTAATTGAAAATCAAATAACATTTAGATTCAAATTTCATTTCAAAAGTCTTTTTTGAAATCCCAACTAAAGAAGTAAATTGGGCCATAGTCCACTATCTCACATTGGCAAAGATTCTAAGAATGACACGGGTATAGCTAGAGGTGAAAAATGGGCTATATTGTTCCATATGAGCTTAGCCCTTTTAAGCACAAGCTCTAAAGTTTAGTTCTTTTAAAATTTATACTAAACTTAAAGCTCGATCTTTTTTAAAGGATTTAGGGTCAAACATGTAAATCTTATTTTAAAAAAAATAATTTCATCATAAATATCTTGATGCATTGCTTGCAAATGATTATTATTCAATTGCAAATAATGATTTACTCAAACTCCCTAGAAGCAGTAAATATGGTGTATCGAGGTGTGCACAGATCCCATTCTTTTTATGATGACACAGCTGAAGTACAAGGAATGTTCTTTGTACATGAGGACTACGAGCTCCTATATGCTCCAAGAGAGGCCATGAGTTGCACGGACCACCTGGCTAAATTAGCCCAAGATATCCCATTTGGCTGGACTCACATTGCTTAAGCTCCTAGAGGATGTAATCCTCTCCTTTTGTTTGATAAAAGTGGGGGCATGTCCCACGGTAGTTCTCTTGCTGTTTAGTTTGTGTTTCTAGCTTTTGCTAGCCTTATCTACCAAAAAAAAAATTAAAGAAAAAAACATGATAATGTAGAGCTAGCAAAATACAAAACTTAGGAAATAACATAAATACCTGCATGATTCACTTCTAACATAAAATGTAACATGCATCACAGAATGGGCAACAAGGAAAAGCTTGACCATAAAATAGGAATGAATGTTTAACAATAAGAAAGAAAGGAATACATACATATATATATATATATATATATATATATATATATATATTTGCACATTGTTATCGAGTCTTTCCCTTTTGTCGGCCAACTTCTCTACCTTTTCTTTCGTCCAAATAGATGGAGTTAGGATTGCCATCCAACAAATTCTAGTTTCATATGAATTTCTATTTAGCAGCTCAACCCAACTTGTACCCAAAACTCACAATCCCTATTTTTAACCTGCCCGACCAATCAAACTACAATATGGGATTCATTCCAATTATACAGGAGGCATCTTTTTGATATCCAGTTTACCATTATAAAGAACATGAAATAAAAAAAAAATTTTGATCAAATTGTAGCAGATTTATTTTGGGGGAAGCCATAATTCTTCAATGGGGTGCACGGAACTGGCAAACACTATTCATTTTCGTTTCAAAATAAACTACGGCCGCCGCCGCAGAGTTATAAATTTAAGGTGTAATAAAACATTTCCAGAATACCCAGAACTTATTAACAGTGAAGATCACAAAAAGTTTGCCAACTAGAATAGACGAAAGCAAATCCTCTCCACCTTGCCAGGCGACCCTTGCATATCTGTCTCATTCCCACTCTTGAATTAGATAAAGGAATGCTCAGAATAATCCAAGCCCATTACACCATTATTATTAATGACAGTTTCATGAGTATCTTAGATTTTATCATATTTATTGTTACAGGATTTAAATTTAAAAATATAGGATAAATTGATTCAACTCTTTTAATCAATTGAATATAATGTTGCTCAATAAAATAAACAAATAATTTTAAACGGTTAAAATTTAACATGCACAATTTAAATTTTTTAAAAATTTCAATGACGACATATTGAACTGTGCAGAACAAATTTTAACCATTTAAATTTATTTCTTTTTTATATAATAATTATTTTATAAAATAATTAAATTTGTTGGTAAAGACATAATAATTAAATCTTAACTATTTATTGAAGAAGAAGAAGAGTTTTAGAGGCTCCGAACCGCTATAGATATAGTGCGCTCTTGGCAAGAGTGCTAAATTATAAATAGATAAATGTGTTCTTATATTGTTTCAATTTTTTTAACCTTTTTATGAAAGCATAGATTTACATAAGAATTTATTATTCTCTCGTTTTTTTTATCTCACAAGCTTTCACTTTCACTTTCACCTCACCTATCTTGATATATTTTTTTAATTTACTTTTTAAATGTGATTTGATTAGTTTCAACATAGTGTCTTATTAAAAAATTTAAATAAATAGTTAAAACAAATTTTTATCATTTTTTAGTAGAGAAAACAATTTTTTTTGTAGTAAAAAGTTTATGTGAGTTGAATTCTGAGAGCTCATTAGGGCCGAACATACTTTCAGACTTAATGAGTACTTACACATAACATAAATATTACTTATTAATAAAGTTCTCATATTGATATCAGAATTTGATTTCACAACTTTATGAGTTATGATCTATAAGTTAAATTTTTACTAATTGAATTATTTTTTATTAGTAAAAATTTTTTATTTTTTTTGCTTATCCACATATATCTTTTTGTTAAAAACAATCATATTTAAAATAATATTAAGCATTAAATGTATATATATTTTTTAGTTTTAGAAGAAAAGAACTTTCTTTTTTATTGAAAAAAAAATCAGAAACTATTATTTAAATATAGAAGCCGAAACTACCATTTTGGACGCTTTTGTTTCGGACTGCTTTTTGGGTTTTGGGCTGGATTTGAAGTCCATGCCTTTTTTGGGTCGTTTTAAATTTGTAGCAGTCGAACTGAGGAACATTGTCACTCTTCAGGGTGAAATCAGAAAATGAGTTGACTACTCACCTTTTCATGCTTTCCAATGGTCACCAACAACTCAGTCTATTCCTTACCCTCGTGACTAGAGATCATACTACAATGAAAATAACCGAAAAAAATGTTATGGTATTTATAACTTCAATCAAATTCATTAGCTTATTATTCACTCGAAAATTCATAAGCTTATACTTAACTTTCTTGCTATCACAAATTTAAACAATTGTAACATTCAGAAAGCGCCTTCCTCCTCATACATTCCCCCCCCCCTACTTGACATTACATCATCCTAAAACCCTCAACTCACAGCACTTGTGATGGGCACACTTCCATGTTTTTCTGGCTGTTATATAACATTTGATAAATGATTCCTATTATTCATATTTTATAAAATAATATAATTTTATTTTTTATTTTTTTAACTTGAATAAATGTTGTACTTTATATTAAATTAATACTGATACCAGTATTTCTTCATGTGGGAATTGTATAATACTATTGGACAATGTAAATGATTTTGTTAACATTGAAGGCCAACCGACTGCATCCTGTATGTGTTGAGAAAGTGTTGAAGTAGCCAGCCCAAAAAAAAAAAAAAAACAAAACAAAAGAAACGTATCCAAGTAACAATGGGAGGGCAGAATTATTAGAAAAAGAAAACGAAGAAGAAAGTGCGCGTAAAAGTAGATGCAGGCGGATGGGATTTGATTACTGGTAGCTAACTACGTACGTATGCAACAGTTTGATGGAAGTGGTGGTTTAACAGGTAGGTCCTGTCCAGAAATATAGCACATGCACGTGCTTTATA